AGTGACGAGCGTCACCCACCTGGTGACGGTCGTCACCCACCCCAGAATGAAGCTGCTTCGCCTGTAACTGCAAATTATGACCAGGAACGTGTCTATAAACCCAAAACACCATTCCCCAAGCATCCTAGGAAGTCTAAACAGGAGATAGAAGAAGCCAGATGTAAAGCTATGATAGACAAGCTGATGCTTGAGATTCCACTTGTTGATGCAGTCAAGCTTTCACCAGCTCTAAGAAGGTATGTAAAGAGAATGGTTGTGAATGGTGTAAGTCCTGAGGAAAGAGCATTGCTTACCAGAGACATCAGTGCAATCCTTTTGAGTACAGTTCCAAAGAAGAAGAAGAAGGTGACTGTTTCTGAACAGGTCAATACCATCACTCAAAGCAGAGTTCCAGAGAAGCTATCTGATCCAAGGACCTTTGTGCTTGATTGCTCAATATTTGAAGGACGTTTTCCCCACTCTCTATGTGATCTAGGGTCAAATATTAACTTGATGCCTTTCTCTGTTGCTGCTAGACTTGGAATGACTGATTTCAAGCCAGCTGGAATCTCTCTCATCCTAGCAGATCGATCCATAAGGACCCCAGAAGGCATGTTAGAGAATGTTCATGTTAACATTGAAGGCTGCATAATTCCTACAGATTTTGTGGTTCTGAAATATGCTGAAGAACCTAAAGATCCTCTTATTCTGGGAAGACCATTCTTGGCTACTGCTAGAGCCATCATTGATGTTAGAAAGGGAACATTGAGCTTGATCTTGGTGATGTTGTCATGAACTTTGACATGGATAAGTTAAGAGGGAGTTCTACCATTGATGGTCAGACCTTTTCTGTAAGAACTTCTAGAGATGAAGAGACTGTCATGGAGCATTCAGAAGACACTATTGCTGAGTGTGTCAATGAATCAGATATAAGTGGGCAAGTGAGCAAGATGGCTGTTGAAGAGCTAATATCTGAAACTTCTGCAGAAGCTGTTGGGTTTGAGGATTGCAGTGAGGATCATATCTTCATGAATAGACTTGAAAAAGAGGTTCTAATGAATGCCAAGTTGCTGGAGGAAGACGTGTTTGTGATGGAAGTAAGACTTGCAGAGCTGAATTGCTGGAAAACTGCAGAAACTCGAACTGCAGAGTCAGTGACGACCGTCACTGACCTGGTGACGCTCGTCACCAACCTGAACACAAAGCAGCAACGTGATTTTACAGCTACAAGTCCATCATATGTTGCCAATCCGAAAATTCACCATTCCACAACCCAGAAACCTGCAACTAAGCAAAGGTATGCACTTCCTGGAACCAGTTCCAAACCTCCTAATCTCATCAATAAGAATTTAAAAGGTGAAAAAGCTGCTTCACACTTATGCAAGCAACGAGATTCTCGTAGAAAGCTTGGTGTTTCTTTTGATGATTCTGCAGGAAAACAAAATGTCCCACCCACACTCACGACCCACCCTGCTGATGTTCCTCACTTCCTTGGAAGTGTTCATACATCTACTGCTTACAAACCACCATGGATGAGGAAACATTCTCCTCCAAGGCATTCAATGCCTCCTTCTGCTCCACCAGCTGTCTGAGCAGCATTCAAAGTCGAGCTAATGACTTTAAACAAGCACTTAGTGGGAGGCAACCCACTAGTAAGTTTTCTTTTTCGTATATTAGTTTAGTTTTCTATTACATAGCTTAAAAAAAAAAAACCCAAAAACATGAGAAAAAATCGAAAAAAAAGGAGTCAGTTTGTTCAGTTTGCTTGGATGATGTCTTGTGAACTTGTTAGACCATGGGTTATGCTTTGTTTAGATGTTTTGATGTGTGTTTTGAGTGCTCTTACAGTTTGACTTCGGAGTACACATGATGGCATAGCATTTAAACATCCAACATGTCTATTTCTGGAGTATCAGAGATGGTGACGCTCGTCACCACTTTGGTGACGCTCGTCACTAGCTCCTTCCCGAGGTACCACTTTTCCACCTTGGTTCTACACGTTCTCATGCTTTATTTTGACCAACTCTTGGCTTAATAACACTGGGGACAGTGTTGTTTAAGTCTGGGGGAGGTGGTTACTGACGTTGTGTGATTTGTGTCATGTCTATCGAGTCTTAAAGTTAGTCAAAAAACCTGTTATTCTAGAGTCAAAATTTTGAAACTGTCAGTTTTTCTTGGAACTAGCCATAGGACGTTTTTGCTGATAAGAACCATTGCCACAGTAGTTGATTACAAGTCTTACTAAGTTGAAAGTCATAGGTAGATCAGTCTAGCAATGAAGGTTTAGGTTCTTAGAGAATCTGGAAAATTTACTGTTAGCTCCACCTTAATGAACTTTAAACTTCTTGTCTTGGTGATTGATTCTTATTGATCTTGATTCTCTCTTTAAGCACTGACAATAAGGTTAAGATACAGTCTCTCTTTGATCTTCCCTGATGTAGTTTTAAAAAAAAAAAAAAAAAAGTTTAAGTCCAAAGAATGGTGCATTCATGACCTTGTCTCCTCACAAGGAACAACAGTAATGAACACACTCAAGAACATGTCTCCTCACAAGGAACACAAGTATTGAGTAGCACCATCTCTTAGACTGAAAAAGTTGAGAAAAAGAAGTGAAAAATCGAAAATATCCTAAGGAAAAAGATTAAGGGAAGAGAAAATAGGAGAGTTGTGTTGAGATTTATTTGTTCAGTTGTTAGGAAGGGAAAAGAATCTGTAAAATGATTAAGATGATAAAACTTTGATAAGATATCACACTTAGATAAAAATAAGGAGTTAGCAGTAGAAATTTCGGGTTTCTTGAAGGGATTTGGACTGGACTTGAGAGATTTGCTAAGCTTGTGATGATTAGGCTGAAATTTGATCTTGTGTTGACTATGTGGTATGTGGATTCGAAAGCTCTAACTAGTGTGGTGTTCCCGATGACTGACTGACTGTATCTTGTTTTCAAACCTCGACCCTGTACTCTATCTGATGTTTGCTTGAGGGCAAGCAAAAGCTAAGTCTGAGGGAGTTGATATATCATGGTTTTTATGGTTTTTAACCATGATATAAGTCCTTTTTATTGAGTTTTTTTGGTCTTTTTAGAGTCCTAGAAGAGTCTTTGCAGGTTATAGCATGTCTGGAGCATAATTGGAGATATTGGAGCCTTTTGGAGCATTCTGAGTTGAAGCCACGAAGTACTTAGCTCGAAGAAGAAAAGTATGCATATGGGTGACGCTCGTCACCAATCTGGTGACGCTCGTCACCCAGAAAGGAAGGGGTCGTGGCCTGTTTTAAAAAGATAGGGAAGAAATTGCAGTTTTGGCCCAGAAGTTCCAGTTTTTGCAAAAAGGCTCTAGATCGTGTTTTAGCTTGTATATTAGGTTTTTCAGCCATTCTTTTGGCAGATATCTTGTATCTTATTATTTTTGAGAGCTTTAGAGAGAGATTTGTAGAAGAGCTTTTGGAGAGACAAATCAGACTCCTTCAAAATAGATTTTGAACTCCTTTATTTCTACTTCTTATTTCTTTTATGCAATCTATTCTTTTCATGATGTTTTCTCAAATCACCATGTCTGAGTAGTTTGTTAGTTAAGTTAGGGCTTTTCAAAGGTTGAAGAAGAGTTTGTAGAATTGCTAAAAACTTCTAGGAAATTCATTGGTTCTTCATCTGTGCTTGCATTCATATCGATTTCTTAGACACATCATCTGGATTTCGAAACCCTAGGTTGTTTGATAGATGTGAGAGCATTATTAATCACCTGAACTAGTATTAGATGAGCAAAACGCCCTAGTACAAAGAGATTTGGCTTAGGAGTTTTGTGAACAGTTGAACCTGATCATTACTGCATGTTTAGGTTGTTAGGGTTTGCAAAGAGATTTGAAACTCTGTGATTTAGATATAGATAACTTCTGCAATGAGAATTGATTAGTTATATCTTTGCGATTCATGTTCAAGACGGTTTTAATTCATTCCTGATTGCATGCATTCTACACTCTCGGATTCAACCTGCGAACTGTCCTGACTTAGCGCCTTTAGCTTTCTGAACTTTAAGAACAGTCTCAAAAACGCCCACTTGCTTTTATTACTTTAGTTATTTCGCATTACATTCATTACTTATTGCTCAGCTTAATCTAAACCTGAACTCTTTAGTGTAGTTTACTTACTCCCTTGGGATTCGATAACCCCTTGTACTACAACTGCTTTTGCTGTGCACTTGCAGTAGTTTTATTTGGGTAAAACCTGACCCTATCAAGGAACCAGAGAAGGAACAAGAAAAGGAACCATAGGTAATTTGTCTTTTGCAGAGAGTTTAACTGTTTGTGTTTTGCAGGGAGTTTAACTGTATGTGTTTTGCAGGGAGAAAAGAATGAAGCGGCTAAGGAGGTAGAGGAGGAAGAGGCAGAAGAGGCAGAGGAGGAAGAGACAGAAGAGGCAGAGGAGGCAGAAGAGCGAAACGGTAATTCTCCTTCAATAATGCGATGTAGCAGTCTTATAAGAGTAGGAGGCAGATTGCTGAAGGTCACTAACAAGTGTGTGGCTGCTGTTTTATCTAAAGCTAAGGAGATAAAGGAAGCTAAGGAGGCAGAGGGAGCGAAGGAGGCAGAGGTAAATTTTGTAATTCTTATACCCTAAAACAGAAATGTCACACTATGTAACACTAAGTAAAACTATTTGTGTTTGCAGATACAAGGGACATCTTCCTCCGCGGGGGGTAAGCAGGTGTATCGAAGGAAAAAAAAGGTTCACAGTCCCAAGTGGAGAAAGAGGCAGCCGACGAACCCCAGAAGAGGAAGAGAAAACGTTCCCAGCATGTGCGACCTCGTTACACAGAGGAAAAAGCCAAGAGGGGCAGGAAAAAATAGTCTAGTTGGACTTAAAACATTTTCTATTTTGGTTTTCAGTTGGACTAAAACTCGAATGCTGATATGTTGTTAGGATTTAAAGTTTGGATTTAATGTTTGGATTTAAACGTATTTCATTTGGTATGGTGTTTTAATTTGTTTTATTTGGATTTCGAATGTTTGATTTGATTTGATATAAACACTAAAAATAGTTATAAAACATTGAAGTGCAAGGAAACGTTAGTCTTGAACAACAATTAAAACAACAATTAAAGAAAATTACAGATTTGTTAAGTCTTGAGCTTCGCTATCTCTTCGGCTTGGATTTGAATCTGTTTTCGCATTTCTTCAATCGTCTTGCTCTGCTCTTCAACTTTCATAACTAGCTTCTCAATCTCTTGTTCGATTCCGAAAACCCATGGCTGACGAAAGTGGAGTCTATCATCCTAGCAAAGAAACAAAAAAACGAGCAACATCCATTATAGTTATACATAGTATTCCAAGTTTTACACCCGAAGAACATCTAAATAGTTTAACCTAGTTTTACTAGTTTTACCCAGAAAAAAACCAGATCTGAAATTATAGAGATTATACCTTAAATTTGGTGCAGGTGAAGTACCTACTGCCTGGTTGAGTATCGAAATCGTGTTTAATTTTTGGAGAATGAGATACATCGTGCTTGATAGATCCACCACATGGGCATCTTCTCGGACTCCCATATTGGCCGTCGGCGACGAATCCAACCATGTCTGAATGCTGCTTCATCTTCTCCATTTCCTTGCGGCTCCTCTTCTCTTCCTTCAACTCCTCCTCGTATGGGTCGATGAGGAAATTGTTCGTGTAGTGATAGCTACAATCCGAATCTATTTTAAGAGAGAGAGAGATCGACTAACCTAAAGAGATAAGAAAGAACGAACCTGAGCGACGGTGAAAAGAGAGAGAGAGAGAGAGAGAGAGAATGGAGGAGGAAACTCGAATCTGAAAAGTGAAAGAAATCTCTAGAACCCCGATTTCTACAATTTACCCTAAACCGGGAAAAACCGTCCTGAATTTCCAAAAATGTCTCGCTCCTACCACGTTTGCCACCAAAATAACACGTGCGCCATTTTTTGCTTACGTGGACGCCACCAAAATTACACTTAGTAATCCATAGTTTTTTAGTTATACTATTTTCAAATAGTTGTACTTTTGGGCGTTTTTAACTTTATATAGTTATATTCCGCAATAAATTTCCTATTTATAGTTTTACAGATGATTTTAGTTCTTCTGTTGTTAAGCCTAAGGGTTTTATGCATTAAAAATATTTTAAAACTCATCGTATCTGTCTATGGTTTCATATGGTGGTTAGTATTTAGAAAGTGTTCATAGAAGTGTATGGTGTTTGTTGTGTAAATGTTCTTTAGTTGATTGTTTCATATTGAATGTAGGTTTTTCTAATAATTTTAAAAATAAAATATAACTCTAAATAAACTAATACAAGATTTTTTCATATTGAATGTTCGAAATTCAATTAAAAACAAACCGACTCTTGAATACATTAAAAAAAATCGTCTTAAATACTATCAGTTGCACCAGTTAATCCAAGTGTTCCGAATACACAAAATAAACACAAACGAGCTACACAGCATCACCAGCCTCACCAGCCTCACTATTACCACTAAAGAAATATGACTACATCCCTCCTCTTCCTCTTCCCCTTCCTCTTCCTCTCCCTCTCCCTCTTCCTCGGTGTTCTCCAGCTGATGGGAACCGGTTTTCTTGAGGTCTTCCTTCCTTTGCGACATAATCTGGTGGTATGACAACCAGGTTTTGTATATGATCAGGAATAATCCAATCAAACCTGTGTAGTATTGGATAAATCGTCCTGCAGTACGCTAATGTCCATAGCTCCATCCAATAATATTTCGAGCAAAACTCTTGTAGATGAAGTTCCCGGCCTCCGCTCATAAAGATGGCAGCAGCTATTGCATGCACACAAGGGGATCTGTCTATATCAAAACACTTGCAACTACAGCTTTTCCTTTTCATATCAACCAAATAGCACTTGCCGTCTTTTCCAATGACACTGAATTCAAGGAAGAAGGCGTTCAACTCATGCACCGTTAATTTCTTCGCTTCCGGTGATCTTTTATGCAGTTCTTTCTCCACATAAGGCACAAGCTTATGGGTGCTTGATACTTCAGAAGAACTGTTCATATGCTTGTTAAACCATTCAGCCAGCTTATCAACAATCACATCAATCATTGGTAATAGAGCGTACTTCCTTGCTTTCCTAAGAACACCATTAATAGATTCTACAATATTGGAGGTGTCTATGTTGTACATTTCTCCTGGAAAATAGCATCTTGCCAATTTGTCCACAGGAACACTACCATCGAGATACTGGGCTGCGGAAGGATACTTGGTTCTAAAAGCATCAAAAAGTGTCAGAAACTCACTCTCTGTATACGCATGAGCACATTCTTTGAACTTCAGAACGCATATATCTTTGTTGACGTAGTAGACATTCGCTTTTACATTCTGAGACAAATGTTGAATACAATACCCATGCTGAGACAACGGAAACACCGCCTACACAGACTTGATGAGGCTTGAGTTTCTATCAGAAAGAAACACCAATTCAGGATCATCTGGTATCACTGATTTTAACCTGTTCATAAACCACATCCAACTAGCATCTTTCTCACCATCAACTACACCAAACGCAATTGGATAATGGTGATGATTAGGATCTTGAGCTGTAGCAACTAACAAAACACCACCATATCCAGTCTTAAGGTGGGTTCCATCCACAACAATGACTTTTTTCATGGCTTGGAATCCCTCAATGCTAGCTCCTAACGCAAAGAATAGGTACTTGAACTTTTTGTTTTTGTCCAATTCCACATAAGTCCGTGTACCAGGATTCATCGACTCCAGCATGTACATATAGGAATACACCAACTGGTAACTCTCGGCTGGACTTCCCCGCACATCATTTACAGCTTATTTTTCCCCCCTCAAAGCAGTAGAGTATGATACTTTTACCCCAAGTCGTCCTTGAACCATATCGATCAGATGTTTTGGAGTTGGAGTGTCAAATTTACCCAGATAATCTTCATCCACAACAGATGCAACCAAACCCGGTGTCCCTTTCCTTTTATTCCTGACTGTAACTGTAGAAGCTCGAGAGCATGTATGCATCTTGTTGTAAGTTCTTACCGAGAAACAATCTGATTCCATCAACTTTGCAGCTTGTAAAGACCACTTGCAACCATTTTTTGCTTTGCGACATTTCACCACGTATCGCTTTTTGTCAGACTTGATTGTATCAACCTCAAAACAATTCTGATGTGAGCCTATATGAACTAAATCTTGCACTGTCTTCTTACTTCTAAATTCTTGACCTACAATTATTTCAATACCATCTTCCCAGCCATTATTTACCGCTACTTCTTCTATAGCAGGTCCATACTCAATATCATCAACCTCTTCCCTGGACACATTTCTTTGATCTGCTTGATGGCCTTCTGATGGTTCACCACCATGAAGAGTAATTATACCAGCATTAACATCCATACCACTTGAAAACACCTGCTCATTACCTGGACCATTTACACTTTCGCGATCCTCTCTTGAAGGCCGCACAACACCCTGATCGACATCTTCCACGATCTCCACGTGCAAAGCACTTCTACATGTATCGTTATTCACTTGCATCAGGTAGCCAAAAATATTCTCATCATTCTAGATATATGATGGCTTAGGATCCACTACCCATGGAAAGTGACTGACTTTCAGCTGCGTATTAGCTTCATCTATCTTCATCTTCCTGCATATTCCACTAATCAACCCAGCATAAGTTACCTCCTCAACAGACGTCTTCATCACTAAGGTGTGAATTTCATCTTCTCTTGATACCCATCTTATGACATCAACTTCCTTTGAATAAGATCCCCCATAATCGAAGCATATAATAGTGAAACGACTTATATTCATTGTCCCCTGAACAAAAATAACAAATATCATTAGTATATGTCTCAATCATATCATTTCTCTCACTAATACAAGCAGTAATACTACTCCAGTTGTACCCAGTTGTTCCTGTTTCTAAACAATGCTCAGTAATACCAGTTGCTCTCAGTAATACATGATGTCTTAGTAATACCAATTGGTCCAGTAGTACTCTGTTCGTGTACCCAAAATTTTTTTATTTATCTACGAATCTCCAACGATTTACTACGAATCGGGATGATTTGATGTTCATTTAACGATTATAACTGCTCCTATTTACTGACCTACAACCCTTAGCAAATAATTTCAATTATTCATTCATCCACAAAAAAATCAGAACAATGGTGCCATTGGAAGACCAAGAGCAACAATGTGTAGCACTCCCTATTATTCTCAGATTTATAGCATATGTAAAGGAGATAATGTGGCAACAGACTCACCATATAAAGTTCCCATATAGCTTCAAGATGGAGAATGTTGGGTTTTAGGAAACATGAGGAATGAAGAATCTGCCAACCAGTGAAAGGGACCATGAAGAAGATGTAGATGTGGGGGCCCATATGTAGTTGAGAATTAAATTAAAATATTATAGATTTGTTTTTCTTTTTATTTATTTCATTAATTTTGGATATTATTATTTTATTGAAGAAGTGTGAGGTCAAAATAGAGGGAAGAATGAGAGGAGGGCATTGAGATTAAGAGAGGGGTAGTCAGATTATTTTCAAACACTTAAGGGCATATTGGCTCTTACGACACCAAAGCTTGCATCAATAATGGTATAAACTATTCAGACTTATCAATTCAATGCATTGCTTGGTATATGCAAGTCATCATCACAAGTCTTCAATCCAAAAACATTCAGAGATAGAGAAGCTTATGCACAGAACATATATAACATATCTGACACTCAAGCTCCAATTATATCAACTCCAATTCAAGTTTTGAAAAATATTTGCTTCTGTTTTCAAAATCCAGAGATAGCTCTCAACACCATCCCTAATTTCGTTTGTGAGACTGAGAACATAAATCTCTAATTCCCTAATCTTCTTCCTTTTTCACAACAAAATTGAGATCAAAACATAATCACAGTTTCTCATAACCCAAATTAACAAATGCTCTCTCTTCGTTGCAAACATCGCAACAATGAAAAAAATAAAGAAAGTGCAGAAAAACTTACGCGGCTGCGTTTAGTAAATCGATCGCAGAGAACCTAAAGCTCTCGTTGATCATCATCATCACAAAATTACCAATCGGTTCCAATAGTTTTTGCTTTTATGCAGTTCACAAATTGAATGAGAGAGAGAGAAAAATGGGTAAATAGTGTTTTGAGAAGCGATTCTATAACCTATTCTAGTAGAATCGACTCTCAGATATTTACATGCCACATCATATTTTTTTATTTTTTTCTGTTCTTTTTTAACTTAGAAACTCCTTACTGGTTGTCCATTACAGATGTTCTTATGAGTTTTACTTTTTGTGTAGCGTTTGAGAAATTATATATGGGTAACCGTTACTGTTACAATAAATGCATCTGAAATAATTTGTGTCCTTTGAACAACAACGAAATTGTTCACATTTTCATTTGCAAATTGCAAGAACAACAAAAGTTAAGAGTTCATGTTTTTCTGTTAAACATATTTACATAATATAGAATTTATATTTTTCATTTAAAAAAAAAATCAGAATATGTGTAAACTTTATAGTTTAGAGAAAAACAAAGAAGATAAATTTATGTTCAAGTCTAAAATAGTGAAAAGAACGAGAAAATGGTATATATGACT